TAGAATTTAGGTGTCTACATTAGTATTAAAGTTGATTTATACATTATTTTAATTTACCGACATAGGCGTAGGGTCAGGCAAGTGAAATGAAATGTTTACTATTGCCGACTTAAAATAGAAAAAAGATAGAAAAATGAAAAAGTTCTATTGATATAATGTTGCTTGATATGCTGTTACAATGTTTGCAGTTAAGAGTTTGGTTCATTATACTTTGAAAAAAAAAGAAATATTTTTCATATCTTATGCTCATCATGCCAAATAAGTTGAAAATCTTCAAAAGCCACTTATGAAACAATATTTTTCCGTTTTTAGACTTTCTTTTAGAGAAAATGTCGAATCTGATATTATTCTTGTTATGAAATGTAAATAACATTTTTGTTTCTGGTTAAACAATTTTATGAAAATTGGCAGTAAAAATGATTACTAAACAGAAATTCAGTATTTCATTCCTCTTGAAAAATTGCTGTTTTGCATATATATCGCATTCGAGTCAGACGTTTTGGCCGCTGCCAGTAACAGACTAGGTTTTGTTTTAGTTCTGTTTCTTTCACTTCATTAGTTTGTTCCTATATTTTCTGTTGTTTTTGTATGTTGCTTTGTTTCTTTTTACACATTTACAGAATTAGTACTAGTTTGTGCCATGATTCTGGTAATAAACCTGCCCTCTAAATTGTAACTGATTCCTTCCCGATCAAATAAAGCACTCAATCAATAAACATTTTGCTGAAGTAGTATATTATAGGTTTTATTGTTTTACATGCACGCAAATATAAATAACCCTTGCTATATCAGATCATGCATTACTATGCTGAGTAATTAATGTTCCATTTCAACAGGATAATTCTTTTTTATTTTGTTGTAAAATTCCATCAGCAGCATTTAAGCATTTTGATCTCAACAGATGGGAGAGAATGAAAGTGTATCATATAAAGCGCTGAAAAGGAATAATTGCAATGGTGTAAAGTTCGACAAGTTTTTAACCTAAACTCTTTATAAATATCTTAAATAAAATAACACAACAAGATGTTTGTGGTATATGTTGGTATGTTAATTGCTTGTAATTTAGCGATAATGCTTGGACAAACGTATGAGGAAATGAATGATTTAGTTGGACATCTATTCAATGACACAAAATACAACAAAATCCTGAGACCATTACAAAACCAATCAAATAAAATACAGGTATGATATTATTGTACTTTTTTATAATTTATTAGCATTATTTTACATTGATTAAAACATTTTCTACAGTTTTAGAAAAAAAACAATCCTTTCATAGAACTTTCTAAATTTTTTATATGATAAGTAAAATTAAATTCTGAATTCCAAAATAGAAGGACAAACATATGTCGACGTGTTGGATTTTTTTGTAAAATGGCAATTTCCATGGTAACAGTAAATATCAAAACTGTAAAAATAGCTGAAACTTTTGATTTAGAAAATAAAACATGTATATGACAGCTTAATACATATGGCAAGCACAATTTTACACAGAGATAACTTTATCTTATGATTCTGTATGAAACAAATGATAATCTGAATATATTTCTTTAAAATATGAGTTTTTTCAAGATTCTTAACTGAACAAAAAATGAGAAAAATAAACATGAATTCTGTAAATATTTAGAAATATCGAACAATATCTTTCATAGATTTAAAAAATTATTAGTAAAATAAATGATAAATTCAAAAATAAAAATAAAACTATATGTCGACGTGTTGGATTTTTTTGTAAAATGGCAATTTCCATGGTAACAGTAAATATCACAAAAGTATCAAAATAGCCACGCTGTTATAAAAATGTACACGTGTATTAGATAGCTTATGTTACACAACAAGCACAATTTTATACATCCAATAATTCTGTATGAACAAACGATAATCTTTATATATTTCTTTTAAAAATGAGTTTTTCACGCTTTTTAACTGAACGAAAAATGAGAACAATAAGCTTGAATTCTGTAAATAATTAAAAAATATCGATACATTTTTTTCATTGAATATTCTACATTTTTGATATATCAAGTAACATTTTATGGTAAATTCAAAAAATATATATGTTGACTTGTAACAATATTTGTAAACGGGCAGTTTCTATGGTTACCGCATATGCCAACTGTCAAAATAACCACGATTTCCTAAGAAATATCAGTGTTATACCAGATGCATATACAACAAAATCACCTTTTGAAATATGAATTCCTATTTCTTTAGATGTTATATGAAGTAAATGAAACTGAAAGCGACTAACAGTATGCATCCTTCCATACTCCTTTTACTACCGACCATGTCTTGAATGCGTCCTCCCATACGCCTTCGTCTATTTCTTGTCCATAGTTTTTGCTGTGATCTCACACGCTCTCATTTTCTCTTTCAAAGTTTAAACCTTTCATGTTCGGTGCCCAAATGTTGTCTTAACGGTAATAATTAATAACAAGAAACCGTTGGGGAAAGATACGTGACATGGCTTATGCTAATATTTCAAAATTATTTGTTCATTGACTATACCTGAAACACCAATGTGTAATTATACATTTATTTTTTGATTCTAGTCGTAAGTAACATTAAGCTATTATAGGTAAATTATCCAGGCTGTCTTAATAAGATTCACTCAATTGGATGTCTGTTTATATCTTAACTGAATGGTATCATTTAAAGAAATTCAGATTTTGATAAAATCATTCAACAACAGTTTTAATTTTGTTTCCAGGTTAATTTTACTAAGTATCTCAAAAGTGTGGAATATTTTGACATCACAACAGGGGAGGCGCTTATATCCGCCTTCTTTGAAATCAGCTGGAAAGACGAATATCTAACATGGGACCCCTCTCGATATGGCGGAAAAGAAAGTATTCAATTACCCAAAGGTAGGTTCTGGAAACCGGAGTTTGAATTGATGAATGGACGCCGCAGTGATGCATTTTCAATTTACAGTAATGGCGTATTTCCTGCTTGGGTTGAGTACAATGGAGACGCTATAATGGTTTTTGGAGGTACGTACGACACAAGATGCAACGTTGATGCCATGCTGTATTCATTAGATATCCATCACTGTAATATCAATATCATAGTATCTAATCATGGAGCAAACGATTTGATAATTCACTCGCCATCAAGTAACACTGATGACCTTGAAGAAAACGATGAATGGGTGATTGAAAGTTCAGATGCAGCTGTAACTCTGATTCAAGAAAAAAGAATTGGAAAAGTTTTTGTTCCGATGGTTCGAATATCTTTGACTTTGAGGAGGAGACCGGCGTTCATACTCATTAACATAAATACGCCTTTAATGCTTATGTCATGTCTTAATATGGCGACATGTTACGTTAGACCTGATTCGGGAGAAAGACTGTCATTTGCGATTACATTATATTTATCATTAGTATTATCTGCAACAGCAGCAATCGAGAAGATACCAAATAATTCATTGCGTGTGCCATGTATGTCATATGAAGTACTATTTATAAATATATTCAATACAATTGGGGTGGCGTGGAGTATATTTATTGTTAACTTGGCGAGTATAAATGTAATTGATCAAAGGAAAATCCCGAGCCTAATTTTAAACATGGTTTTAAAAAGGAGGCTAAATAAATCATGTGTGTTAAATAAAATTGAATCTGATTATGAAACGGAGCAGACAATGGAATCTATTGAAAACGGAGAGGTACAGAGTGTCAAGAATGATATTGGAACAAATTCAGATATTTCTAAAAGTAAGTTGCAACATGATATCAGCGGACGTGAAGTTGCTGATGTGGCTGATAATTTATTCTTTTGGTTACTTGGGCTATCAAATACGTTTCTCAATGTCACTATTGTTTCCGTTATAATCGGTACCTGGGCACAATCATAGGTACATTTGTTCCAGATTGTGTTTGTTTCAGGAAGACTGGACAAGGCAAGCAACATACAAACATAAAACCAATAGGATTATTACAAATTAGAAATAAAAAAAAACATCGCTAGAAATGAAAATAAAGAAAAAAACATTGATGTAAAAACTGTAATTAAGTTCGTGAGAGATGTAAATTAAGCTAACTTTTGATTGCGCAAATGTAATCTTGGTTTGATAACATTTTAAAGAGAATTTTCAGCTTCGATTTTCATTGAAAAAGAGAAAAGAAGCACCGATTTCTTTATTTTTAAACAACTCAGACTATGTTTACAAATTATTTGTCTATTATGTCATGTTCATGCATATCTTAAATATATATTGTACACATCATCTTATATGTATACATATGTAGCATTTTTTAAAATTCATACACCACTTTCTTACCAGAAAAGATTTGGACTTGAGTTTATTACGGATAGAGACTTGAATGATATAACTACTGAAACTACAAACCGAACATTCAATTTCATTTCACCTGTTAATGTTTGTGCCATTACTTATGAGGGGTCATTCCTTTCCAACAATTTTATAGAAGTTACATTGCAACAAACACTAGAAATAGCTAATTGCATTATAACGTGTTCCTTATTTATTCGGTGAAGCAGCCGAGTCGTATATGAATAAAAAGCCGCATGATGTACTGCGGAATGAGACGATTTATCTTGGGGTCCTCAATAAAATACAGGTACATAAAACATTCACGTACATCAACTTAACACTTCCAAACACTTTTTAAATTTCTTACTTTGTTGCAAAAATATTTTTATTGACATATTTATCAAATAGAAAGACGACGTATTATTATCTCAATATATAAAGAATAAACATGTCTGATCCATGTAATAAGGGAAGTTCACGACCGACACTTAAATACTGGAAGCAGGTTAAAACTGAATCCTACGAAAAACACGTTGTCTCCATATTAAGAGGTACTTTTTGCATTGGACAAAACGTATCTGTATAAGACTGTTGGATTGCATTGCCATTTAACATTTAGCATCTGCTTGTTTCTATCTATCCATCTATTTACCTTTAGAAAATAAACAAACGATTTTGAAAGAAATTTGTTGTTGTTGCTTCTGAATTGTAGGGATAGTTCGGTGCCCCGTAGGTCTGACTTCCAAAAATTGAAAGTGACATTATTGCCCATCAAAGGGTATTTAGTGAGTGAACAGATGAATGTCAATATAAGTTTCAATTTTGTAATCATTCCTTTCAACTTTATTATTCACTTCGAATGAATGTTCGGACGTACTATAATTTCTGTAACGCTTGTTCACAAATGGATAGATCAAAACAGACACTGATTTTTTCAATGTATAATTTTTCGGCCCTTCTCTGTATGAATACACAGCTGTGGAATTACACCATTCCTTTGCAACCCTTTTACGATTGCGTAAACCTCGCGCGTGTAAAAATATATTTTCTATTACGACAATCATAGTAGACAAAAGACACGAGTTTAACAAGACGTTTAAACTGTTTATTATATAAATATGTATTTATTAAATTACTAGTACTTTCAATATTCATAAATAAACATGTGCTAAAGTAACAAATAAAGAAACAGCTTTAATTTACATGACACTCGATCTGTTACAAAGGCACAAAATCGCGTGCATATGTACAAAGTCCAATCATTGTGCACAAAAAACAACAACAAAAACAACAACAACTGTTACAAAGGCACAAAATCGCGTGCATATGTACAAAGTCCAATCATTGTGCACAAAAAAACAACAACAAAAACAACAACAACAACAAATTCAATACAAACAACAACTAAAATTGGAACGTGGAGCAGTAAATACCCATTTCACTTTGGCAATGCTTCTATTGCGTACACGTCTGTCTGTGTCGTTTGTATTGTTTAAATCAACACCGCCTTTTAAATGTTTTGTTGTCATATTATTATTCAATGCGATATTCATGTTGATTTGATAAAAAAATCTGTCTGTACCAGATTTCAAATTTTCATATGTGTTTTTTATGTTTTTATTGATAAATAAGTAGTAATAATGTACTTTTGTTATAAAAATGAGAGCGTTTATTCTATTTTTTAACTGTCTTACTTTTTAAGTCGATTAATCTTGTTTATTTTGCATTTTTCATTGTAACAGCATTTACATGCTCTTGCTCAGTAAAAATACGAAATAAAAGATGCAAAGAAATAATAGGATAAATAATAAAATCCAAAAAAATATTCTGTCAAGAACAGATGACAATTCGAGTCCACTTATTCCGTCTTCATGATCATAATTTCCACCCCTTTCCTCTTCTTTTTCTTCGTTCACATCTTTGCCGGTAATGTTTTGTACTTTAGTTGCTTGCTCCATTTCAATGACAGGTTTAATTTTGTTTCTAATTTTAGACATCGAGATACGCTTATTTTTCATCACCATTTTTGTGAGAATAGATGGAAGTTTTCGCCTTATAATATCTACTTTGGCTAAATGTACGACAAATATGCTCCATGTAACACAGACTGCATTAATAACATTGATAGTAAGAATGAAGAACGAAATCACGGGCATCTTTAATGAATTGTTTGGAACTGTATCCATGAGTGACGTAGTTGTGACAACAAAAGCCAGATATAAAGTCACTACAACTGACAATCTTTCGCCAGAATCAGGCCGTACCCAACATGTCATAATATTAAGGATACAAAGTAGAAGAGACGGTGCCATACTGTTAATGAGTGCAGACAAAGGTCTTCTTTTCAAAGTGAAAGAGGCTCGTAACATTGGGATCGTCAACCGTTCAATCTTTTCATCTTTTCCTTCATCAATATTTTCGGCAAAATTTTCTACTTCCCATTCGCCATTTTCTTCTAGATTTCTAGTATCTAAGAGTTTAGTCGGAGAATTAAGAACTAATTCAGTGGAATCATGATTAGATACAATGAAGTAAAAACTACACTCGTGTGTGTCAAATGGATAAAACGTTGTATCGATATTGCATCTAACCTTGAAGGTACAAGCTGGTGTCATCAAAACAGAGCCTTGGTAACTTATCCAAGCCGGTGAAAATTTGCATTCTGTGATTGCAGAACTGTCGGCGGCTGCACCACTCCTTAACAAAATTTCTGGTTTCCAAAATTTTCCTTTGGGCAATGGAATTCTTTCCATGCCATGGTGTACATAAGGGTCCCATGTAAGAAGTTCATCCGTCCATGTTATTTTAAAGAATTCATTAATATCCAGCTCTCCCGAAATTATGTCAAACGTTTCAATAGCTAACAGAAATTGGGTGAGATTGATCTGCAATAAATATAAGATTTTGTATTACTTAACCCTCTACTACTTCAACTACATATACTAATCGGGTTCTTTTTGTCTTTCAATTTACAAAAAATAATTAAATTAAAAAAATAATTGATTTGTTTCTTACATAGTGTATATTATTTTAACTGCACATTGTCAAATTGATTTGCACAAACCCAGTATATGTGTGTTTACTCACAAATACATATAATTCCCTTTAAAATCAGGTCCTAATTTGCAAACAAATATTTGTTTTATGATGCTCAACTTCAAAATTTACCTCAATTGGCTGACTTTGGTTGTACAATGGTCTTAGAAATTTGTTGTATCTCGATTCGTTAAATAACTGGTCTACTAGATCATTCATTTCTGTGTACAATTGTCCGTTTGCAATCCAAATCACAAAACTTAAGTGCAGCCAGCGAATGATATAATAAATGTTCATTTCTAACAATTTTAATGTAAAAATCACATAAAAATTTATAAATTCTGAGTCGTTATTACACTATAATCTAAAACACAATACATGTACTTTACTTCAATCTCCATTAATTATATGTTTATTATGATATTTTTGCAGGCTTTTATGATCCGCAAAACGTCATTGATTTTAACTTGTTACCATTAGCAAGGAAAGTGACGTTCACGATTTTTATTTTATACAAGCAAATTGATTGCATCGGATTGTATTTTTATAAATCTATTATTAATACAAAAGTCATTGACGAAAAAAGTATTATAATGAACAATACAAGCTAAAAAATGTTTTTCACAATATTTGTTTTCATTTTCAAGCATGTCACTTGAATCAACCCATTTCTTAACATAAGCAAAGTATTCTATAATCACACAGAACGGACATGACTGTGTTGTTCGATGTATTAACAAAAAGCCTGAAATAATCTTTCAATGGCCACAACATTTCTTTCTTGACTGCCGGAAAACCTACTTTTTTAAAAATCCATTTCACTGCTTGAATCACAGGAAACATTCCGACAAGGGGATGACAAGATTTGAGTTTAAATAAAATGTTGAAAGGGTACTAAATAAAAGACATATCCATTGCATGTACCATAAATACTTCAAGAGCATTGATTTACAATACAATCTACAATTTGTAGCATAATGGAACTTTGAAATTTTCAAAATGCAAATATAAAAATTAATGGACATGTCATTTAATCATAAAAAAGGAAAAAGAATTGACAGAAGTACATGTAGTTAGTGCAAACTACAGTCCATCCCCCTTATCAAAGGCTTAAACAGAAACATTTCACTTAAACATGAAATGGTTAAACAATTGGTCTTGTTATTCGAAGGTAAGTTCATATAGCGGTAATCATAAAACTTTTAATGTAAGACAATCGTGTCAATTTAAGAAAAGCGGCCAAAGAGAAAATAGCGTGTGCTTATAACAACAAACTGATGAGTTCAACTAAATAAAAGGAATTTTGAAAGGGGATCGTTTGATTCATAAACGACCTTTAAAAGGCCAAATTTATATATTTCCTGAGGGTGATTATGCAGAATTCAAGTTGGAACTGGAACCACCAAACTCTGAAAAAGTCAAATAAAAGAAAAAAACAGAAGCATAATAAGTCATTCTTTTGGTAAAAGCAATTACTAAAACACTATCATTAATGGCAAGGAACATTTTATAGGGTATTCGGTCATATGTAAACTTAACAGAAGACAAAGAGGTCATATGTAAACTTAACAGAAGACAAAGAGTTATATACTGTCTTTCATCCACTTGAGTATTTTTTTCAGTTATGGTCACTTGTTTTACATATAAGGATTGATGAGGATTGATAACAGGGTCTGGAACAGTCTGTTAAGAATTATTTTAATGGCTGCTTACAAATGTTATATACATTGTTGTGTACGAAATCACCCATAATCGGATGCGTGTCATTCGATTTTCATTTATATCAATACTAAAACAAAAGAAAAAAAAATCATAGATTCGTCGTATCAAGACACTATTTTATACAAAAACATTGCAGTACAACGAAACAAAGATAATATATAAATATGATGTTATCTAGTCAGGTTTATTATTTGTGGGGGAAAAGGAATATTTTTGTTGAAGCAGCAAGCAAACATGCAAATAAATATCTCTAATTATTGATTAAAAAGCATAAATATGTTCTTAGTACCGTAAACAGTGACTTTAACTCTATCCAAAAACAACCTTATCAACTTTAATCACAGTAATATTATAACGTCTAGCATAAGAACAGTCCCCTTCTTTTTCATTATCTTCCTTGTTGAGTTGTTAACAGTCACTTCCCTTTAATGTAAGGGATATTTCCACAATGTGAACTGAAACTTTTTATGTATTTTCTTCTTGAATGACAGCACCATCTGCTTTTGTTTTTTCAAGAGTGAATTCCTGGAGAATTCATGTTCTTTAATTTCATTTATGTCAGTATCTTAAAGTTTAATTTCATTTGTGTTAGTATTTCCTCACAAATTGTCCTTATTTTAGTACGCATTTCATTAAAAAGTAACATTTGTGACTATAAAGTGGATATTGAAATCATTATCACGTCGTCTCTGATAGGTACCTATCACGTCACACTATAAGTAACCAAGACAAGATATCTTAGACAAGTATTCCTCTACACGTGAAAATGTTCCACGTTTTAAAGATACTTAGTATGTAAAAAAGGACTTTCATTGCCCTCGAACGCGTTAAGCTTTAAACCAGTGAAAATTAACAATTTTGTTTTAATTCGAGCTAAATATTATCATTATACCTTGTAAATATGATATGGCTTAATCTTAAATCCGTCAGATATATTTCAGTCTGCAAATAAATAATTTGCTTCCATGCTTTCATATTCAGCTATATTATCTTAAGCTCATTTTGACTAAGTTTACTCGTTTCATTCAACTATTATTGTTATCTTTTATCTTTGTTTAGAGCCTTTCTGATGTTTATCTATACACAAATTTGACACTAATTTGATCTTATTTATGGCAGATTTTATCAGTGACATAGCAAAATGTTAGGAAGGACAATAGTTTCAGGGACTTTTATATTTTGTGTCATTGAATGTTTTGTTTTTGATGCATCACCGTCATCAACATCAAATAAACTACCATTAGTTTTAACTACGTGGCCTTATCAAGATGCTGTTACAGCAGGTGAGCGTAAAATATAATTATATTAAGTTAAAGATGTAACTTAAAGGAAAACGACGCTCTCTGATACTCATGATGATTTTTTTATCCTTAGAGTTAAAACAAAAACTTTCAATAGTTTCAGGTTGCTTTTTTAACTACTTGGCTGCTCCTGATTTCTTGCTTTATGATGATAGTGGTGGTGGTGATTTATGATGATGATGATAATGATGATGAGGCAGCGGATGATGATGATAATTTTGATGATGTTGTTGATAATGATGCTGCTGCTGCTGCTGCTGATGATGATGATGCTGCTGCTGCTGCTGCTGCTGCTGCTGCTGCTGCTGCTGCTGCTGCTGCTGCTGCTGCTGCTGCTGATGATGATGATGATGATGATGATGATAATAATGAGAAATATATAACCTACATATAGACTTAACACCTTATATTATATATTTATCCTTATTATAGGATGGATGTCTATAACGAGTGGCAACACAGCTATTGACGCGGTCGAGGCGACGGGACATTCTTGTGAAATGTCTGCCTGCCGACACACCGTCGGATTTGGCGGCAGTCCAGACGAAAATGGTGAAACAACACTTGACGCAATGATAATGGACGGGTAGTCAACTTACAGTATCTTTCAATGCATTTTTTATAATTCTTATTCTTTAGTGGTATAAGCTTTTGAAAGATAAAGAGTATTTTTGTCGATCTGTACATATGGCAGTTTTGGTGATTCTCATTATTATAGACCCGCCATTATATATTCTAGACAGCACAAAAGTATAATTCTCTCATGTGAATTTACTTTTTCAGCGTTACACATAACGTAGGCGCAGTTGGTGGGCTTCGTAGAATTAAACAGGCCATATCTGTAGCCCGAAAAGTACTTGACAACACGGATCACACACTGTTGGTTGGGGACGCAGGTTTGAGCATTGATTCGTTGATATGTATACTTTACCTTTTTCGTTTTATCGTGGGTCTTAGGACAATAGGGTTTGAACCACGTGTCCTTAAATATCATCTACAACTAGTTGATGAAACCTTTATCATACTTGATCTCAAAGCAGTTTTATTCCAAATGAGGTCGTATGAATTAAAATGAACGAAGTTATTTTGTAATAAGAAGTGAGTTTATGGTTCAGTTATATATACAATTTCTATGTCATTTTTATGTCCAGGGGCTAGATATAATAAGAGACACATTGACTATAGCTACGTTTATTTAGACAACCATATATTATATATCTTAACCGGAACCGAAAGAGCTGGACTTGCCTTTCAGCAAGTTCTTTTGAAAAATAATTTCCAACACTGAAAAACAGTTGTTTCTGGTGAGCGACTCAGGGCCATCATGGCCCTCTTGTTTAATAATTTCATTTTTTGTTTTACCCATCATGCAATGTAGATATAAATAGCAGACAACAGTAATGAGCATAGTTCATTCATGAGGATATTACAGTAATCGCATTTAATGTTTAAAATGCATGTTTATTCTTTATTTAGCAACAAAATTTGCTGTTGACATGGGTTTCACCGAGGAAAATCTAACAACATCATATTCTGAGCAATTGTGGGAATTATGGAGAAACGCAAGCTGCCAACCAAATTTCCGTGAAGTATGTCTGCCTGTCTTTTCCTAATAATATATTATTTAAATTTCGTTGCATGTTTTCACTATATACATGTAATTATTGTTATCATAAATGAGTTGTGTTTGTCAAAAATAAGCTTCATTTTTGCGAACTTTGATTTGATGTTATTTTTAGAACGTTTCTCCTGATCCAAGAAAATTGTGTGGTCCATACCATCCAATCAAAAGTTCCGTTGCTTCGGGTGATGAGTTTCGAGTGATAGCCAATGAGAATAATCATGACACAATTGGAATTATTGCTATTGACGCACAAGGGACAGTCGCTTCAGGAGCGTCAACAAATGGTCTAACATACAAAGTTCCTGGGTAATGTTGTTCGTATTCCACTGTGGAGAAACATGCACTTTTTAACAATCTTTTCAAACGCTCTATTATTATCTTCTGTGAATGTGACGCCGAAGTCAGTTTAAAGCGATAGTGACTTTTGTAATTTCTAACTGATAAGAGGTATGATCAAAAAGTTCTCGGTCCAATATAATTCTTGCCACTTCACTGACATTTACACACGATACGTCAATATCGATATCTTATTGAAGACTACTAGCCGAGTTACACGCGGTTTTACACAAATTAGTAACTTGGAGACAGTTGAAATCAGAGCCGTCATTAAGTACCTCCTGAAGAAAGGGCTGTCCCCCAAGGATACAAGGAGTCCCCTTCCTATAGCACAGTGAAAAAATGGGCTGTTGAATTTAAGACGGACAGGGGGAGCATTGGAGATGATGAGCGGCCTGGGCGGCCAAAAGTGGCCACCAACGATGAAATACCGAAACTGTGCACGATCTGGTCATATGCGACAGAAGGCGAGACATGCGAAGCATTTTGCGTGGGAAGTGGGTATAAGATTACGTTCAGTTCAGGCAATTCTGACTGATGTCAATGGCATGTCAAAGGTTTCCGCTAGATGGGTCCCCAGACAGTTGACTGTCGACCAGAAACGGACCGGGCTTGACATTTCGAGATATATTTTGTCTCGTTACGAGGATGAACCTGATTTTATCTACCGGATCGTAACTCAGGATGAAACTTGGGTCCATCATTTCGATCCAGAATACAAAAAAAAACATGCAGTGGAAGCCCTTTGCTCACCCCCCCCCCCCCCCTACGAAATTCAAGAGGGTGCCACAAGCAGAGAAGATAATGGCTTCAATGTTTTGGGATATTCAGGGGATAATCATGATTGACTATCTTCAGTAAGGTACGTACTATGATGACGAATTGAGATGTCTGCGTCAAGAAATCGCGCGTAAATGGAGAGGCAAGCTGATTCAAGGCGTTCTGCTCCTGCACAACAATACGCCAGCTCACACATGCCAAGATGCAATGGCTGCTGCAATAAACTGCGGCTTTGAAATTCTTCCCCATCCCCCATATTCTCCGGACTTGGCCCCTCTGACTTCTACCTGTTTCCGAAATTGAAAACCAAGCTTCATGGTAGACGTTTCGGAAACAATGAAGGAGTCATGGAGGCGGTCAATGAGTTCTTTGAGGACCAAAATAGAGAGTTCTATTTTGAAGGGTTAAACAAGTTTGAGCACGATGGGCAAAGTGCAGTGATGTAGAGGGCGATAATATTGAAAAGTAAGACCATTAGTTGGGTACATCGGGCCAAGAACTTTTTGATCAATCCTCGAATTTAAATGCCTTAATATTTCGATACTTGAGTTCAAACGGCGAATACTAGTAATCCAAATCAGTTATTTATTCTTTCCGATCTTAAGCACCTCATATTATACTGAATGTTTCGTCTTCTCAATGCCCTTAGGTCATATCCGTAGAAACTCGTCAATCTCTAGCTACGTTGAACATTACCCTCGGTTATGATAAAAAATGTCTTTAATTACTGCAAGATGGAATGTAGATTTGCTACATTAAAGGGACACTACTCTTCTTAAACATAAAAATAACTCTTACAGGCGTGTAGGTGATACACCAATTGCCGGAGCTGGTTCATACGCCGACACCGACATAGGGGCAGCAGCATGTACAGGGAATGGTGACATTATGATGAGATTTCTTCCTAGGTATGTACAATAGAACTCCTATCTGTCGAACTTCGATAAGTCGAATTTCTTGATATGTCGAAGGAAAATGACAATCTTGATAACCATCCCTCCCCCCAAACCCCACTATACACATTATGAATAGAAATACAACATTGATAAAAGTATAATACTATTTGAAACAATTTTCTGGCAAGAAATATAGTTAATATTCAGCTGATTTCTATGTAAAAATGACTATATTTTATATAGGATGTAATGCATAAATGTAAGTAACGTTCAAGGTCGGTTATATTTTAGTTACCAGGCAGTGACGTTGATGGGCACTGGAATGTCTCCAACGGACGCTGCCACAGCAGCTATCAACGCAATTCGCCGGAAATACCCGACATTTAAAGGAGCGGTAGTTGCAGCTAACAAAAACGGGGAGTATGGTAATGGAAAATTACTAACAGTTTAAGTTTTATGTGTGTCAAATATGGGTTAAAAGTCTAAACTATTTCAACTTTTACCTGTTTTCAAAGGTTAGAAAAAGTATAGAATCCCTTGGAAGTAGTAAATAATTGAACACTCTCTGGCACATCGGTCGAATGCTGCACTGAGTCTATTCAGTGAGCTGCGGAGGGAACGTAATAATTGAACTACCGTTTCATCAAAAGTGATTGAACGGATGTGGAAAACTTGAACAATGCACAGGAGAGTATACAGTTTCTTATTCAGTATGTTTTATACATGATTTTATTTTTGATAAATATCAAATGAATCTGTATTGCTTTTGTTTTCAAAGGTGCTGCGTGTCATCTTTGGACAAACTTTGCAATCACTGTAAGGACGCCGGCTCTTCACAACACTACAGTTTTACATATAACATGCTCACAATACACAATAATGTAATAATATTATTATAGCGATTAAAATATATCAAAATGTATTTCGCGTGTTATTTTCATACGGGGTATAACGGTTATTGATTACTGGAATGATTAGTTAAAACATACATGTAATTTATTCCTTTTAATGTTTTACAAGATGTACAATGCAAATATATAGAAAAAAATAAAAAAGTAAATTTTGAAAGAAAAGTGGTTGGACCACAAGTTCAAATAACATTTGTAATTCGGTCCCTCCCTAATACGAATATAAAAAATATTGATAATATAGATTACATTGAAATGGCATTGAAGAATATAACAAAGTACATGTATTTAAGGAACAAAATAATGGTAGATCATTTGCTGGGAGATAGAGAGGGGGAGAGTACTTTTAGCAGTTGCATTTTATTTTTTAAGAGAAAAAATCATCAGCATTGAACAGATTTTATCGAAAACGTTCCGTATGCTTAATATATCTTTGAACTTCTATAAATATGAATGAATTGTTTTCTTAGGAATAGGTAATATTACCAAAAAGAACAGTACATGTATTAAATGGATAAAAAATGCGAGTAGCTTTAAAAAGCTGAATTCGTTGTGGTGGATACAGTCTGCAATTGAAAAAAAGAATGTTCAGCATCTTCGAAAGCACAACCGCATGCACAAGATGCATTTTCTCTTAAATGATTTCTAAATAATGAAATGATGACGACATGTCGACCTTGACCGCAAAACTGTAGTAACTTATATGAAATAAAGAAGAACATACAACAATTTTGCGACAACCCTCGATCTGTTCTCTAAATGGAATATATAGAAATTGAACCTTTTGTTGATGGATGTACCTTAAATACATTTGTTTTGATTTTTCCAATTTTCTTTTCATAGATAACAATAAATAAGACACATATTTTAATAGATTTGTTTTTTTGCAATGAAGAATTTAGATAATTCTCTCGCATTGTACAGCTAAAATTCACTATTCCTTTCATTAATATTGACAAGTGCCAGTAATCATTATATAAAAGCATACTATCCACCTAAATATTCTACCACCTAATCAATGACTCTTTTTTATGCGGTTAGCAAAATAGCGTAGTGGTAGAATGTTTGCTCTGTGGGTATAGAGACCCTGGTTCGAATCCTATTAAAAAGCATCTCTTTCTTTTCCTTTCCGTTTTAAGTTATTTTTAGAGCGAACTGGATTTTATTTTCCTGTTAATTTAATTTACACAATGCGTTTTGAGAATATTTAATTATATGCACATCCGCGTATGGCAACACAGTCGTGATTATAGGGTGATGAATGAGCAATAGATAAATACAACATACATATGAGCCGTGTCACGACAAAACCAACATAATGGGTCCGCGCAGTCTGATCAGGATCCATGCTGTTCGCTTTCAGTGTCTCTACCTGTTATAGGTTTAGTAAGCGAACAGCATGGATCCTGATCAGACTGCGCGGACCCATTATGTTGGTTTTGTCGTGACACGGCTCATATATACAAATGAGCAAAAATCGTTAAAAATGTGGCAGATGGAATTCAGAGTTTCAAACAGAATAAAATTAATAATACTATTCAAACTGTTCAATGGCAGTTAGTGTTTGAAAGTATTGTTTGTCCAACAGGATTGTAGTATTTCAAATGAATCGTAACACATTAACTTTGGTAAATCGGCAAACTGTGAACTGGAATCAGTCTAGTAAATCGACTGTTTATAAAAATAATTTAGAACACTAAGTAGGTTAAAGTTTATTAGTACGCATTTACAAAATTAAATTGGTTGCGCAACCGCGTCGCGCCTGACCAATTTAATTTTGTAAATACGTATAATTATAAACTTTAACCTTTACTTGAAAATCAAATACATGTATATTCAAGTTTGCTTAACCGTCATAATTTAACTTTAAATTATGTAAACTATTAAAAAAGGAAAAACTAAAAGTTACGTGACACACTATAAAAAATATCTTTTGAAAATAAAAGCCATGCACAATTGCAGATTTGAACTCTAAAAACATTTTTAGAACCCTAGATCTTCATAATATGAGCTCTCTAACCACTAAGCTACTCGGATTTACGAGTCTTTATCCACTTTTATTATTTTATATTGCAATATAATGCTAATTCTATATTGCAATATAATGCAAAATGAAATAACTAAAGAACTTGAACAATGTATTATATCACAATAGGTCGGCCGATTAATGTAAATGTTATCGTGTTCGACGTAAACTTATTTGTATCATGTATATATGCTATACATTTACATGTCTCACTGTGTATTTGTATTGGTGTTTACCTCATTATTTCATGTTTAACATGAAATTAGTGGACAATAAAGAAATGTCAATCACTTAAATAAGAATGTTCAAATTACATGTTGATACCACAACATAATAAATTAATTGATTAATCATTAGAGGGTCTAATTAATTAATTAATAAATTAATTAATGAAGTAGAATTGGACGCGTGGGGAAACTATTGCACTACACTTTTTCTGTTCTGCAGAAATGTTAAAAGTTTACATCCTCTGTAACTTGTATAATATCGAAATGTGTTGAAAAATAAACCGTTCAAGTTTCCCGCCTTAATGTAAAGAATCACATGACTTGCATAACTGGAAAATGGCGGTTTGTGTGAACGTCTATACAGTGTGTGTAGCTATTACAGTTTGCATTTCTTTAATATCGGGTGAACTTTACAAAAAAGACAGTTATAGGACAATTAAATCACCATGGATTCCATTGGTTCTTACAACATGGGGCTATAGAGATGCCGTCAAAGCAGGTATTTGAAAATTTTATAATATAATTTATGTTTATAAACAAACACGTGAAAAACCCATAATGTTTATTGGTAATACCGTACCGAGTTCCTGAAAGCCGGCTATCTGCCGTCACGCACGTCTTTTTTGCTGAAGTCGTGGTGACAACAATTTCATTAAATTGAACTTTGATTGATTTTTGTTGTTGTTGTTTTTGTTGCTTATAACATGGTGTATCCAATTAAGACTTTAGATACGTAAGACAGGTTAAGATTCAAAATAAACTGTGTCGTGTTTTTTAATTGAGAACAAATTAATTCATAGCACGTTTTAAGTAATATAGTTTGTAAAAGTTAAAACTTGTGTGTATACAGGAGAGATAGCTAATGAATATACCCCATGCAGATAGAATGTATGCGTCTGCCGTCTTTTCATAATTTATGATCTGAAACGATATACATGCAATTTAACAATTAGAATTTTGTTTCATAGGGTGGAATGTCATCAAAAATGGAAATTCTGCATTAGACGCTGTGGAAGCGACGGGACATTCTTGTGAAATGGCACAGTGCCGACATACCGTCGGATTTGGCGGAAGCCCCGACGAGAGTGGAGAAACTACACTTGATGCTGTGATAATGGATGGGTACATACTTTTTTATATGGTTCATCGAACAGACATATTAAATCTCATAAATTACCAGAAGTCCTTAAAATCTTATTTCTTCCTCTCACACACTCTCTTGGAATGTAGACACCACCCTTTTCCGCCCCTGAATATTAAAAACTAAAACCAATAATTTCTACAATAATTCGTCTTATTATTATTATTTTTTTGCTAATAGTTTGACACGGTCTAGTATATAACACGTGGACAAGTTTAAACAGAATACCATAGCGTTTTAAAGTCAATTTTTTACCAACGCTTCAATTATTATATTCCAGAGAGTTTTTTAAAGTTAAAAAAAACATATAAATTTGCCATCGGATATATGAAGTCCCATCGCAGTGGAGGTCTTGTTGGTTTATAATTTATCCTCAACGTTCAGTATACGTGTATAAACTTATGTTAATATAATTATTGCAAACACATATGATAAGGATAATTTGTATGTACATTTTAGCAACACACATAACGTGGGAGGTGTAGGTGGTATACGGAGGATCAAACAGGCCATCTCTGTCGCCAGAAAAGTGTTAGACAATACTGACCACTCTTTGCTCGTTGGAGATGCAGGTATACATGTGCATTTGTACTTTATTAGTCCCCTAACGGTTTAACCGGAGGGGACTTTAGGTTTACCCTCCGTCCGTCTGTCCGTCTGTCTGTCTGTCCGTCTGTCTGTCTGTCTGTCTGTCAGTCCGTCAGTCCGTCCGTCCACAAAACTGGATCCCGCGATAACGTAAAAAGTACTGAAAGTATTTTTATGAAACTTGAAATATGGGTAGATGGCAGTCTGGAGATTATGCACATCTTTTTCTTTTCTTCCTATGTTGAAAATTCTGGTTGCTATGGCAACAAATAGCCTGAATTTCAAGATTTCTGATTTAAATTTTTTCAGCTTTTTCACTATATGTTCTTTATTTCTTAAGGTGTTTACTTCAAACTTTAAATATAAGTTTCTGGTCATCAACCACATCATATGTGACAAGGTTTATAACTCTAGCACAAAAAATATCAGTATTACCTCCCTCGAACTTAGATTTTTTAGGGGAAAAAATGTTGTCTTTTTTAAATAACTTCTTTATTTCCTTATGTATCTACTTCAAACTTCATATATATGTTTCTTGTTATCACTCGACATTTTTGAGAAGGTTAAATACTCTAGCAAGACTATTTCCAGAATTATGTCCCCCTTGAACTTAGATTTTTTTCGAGAAACTGGTATTTTCACTCCAACTTCTTCATTCCTTATAGGATTTACTTTAAGATCCCACATCGTAATAATATGACAAGGTTGTATAAACATAATTTCCTTACTAAGCATGGAAACTTAACACATTACTGTGATATAGACAAACTTAGAACTCAAAAGATTTAAGTTTATTCATGTCATTCATTCACTGGTAAAATTGAATGGCAAATGACCTATCAGAATGTTGCTGGGGTTCTAACCGGTAGGGGACTTGTAATGATAATTGCTTGTAAATTAAGGAAGGGTTTATAGAGACAAAGAGTTAAATCATGAAAAGCCTACTTGCATGTGAGTTTCATCGATGTTTATTTTCATAAAGTAACAGTCATGTACAACACACAGATGACAATTTAAATACGTTTAGGGAGAGCTATTGTACACATCCGGGCGTCGGTGTCACACTTCGGTGTAGCTAATGCACGCAAATTGGTGTCTTCAGTTGAGTGCATGAGTGGGCTGGAATTTCGTACACTTATATGAAAGCAGGAAGTCTTTGTTTAAGGCCCATGCATTATGACAAAAGTGCGGACGTTTTTGAACTTCTACAATTCTACATTATCCAGTCTTGTTTTACTGCTAAGCACTGACAGCTCTTGTTGAGGTTTTGACGTCACTATATTCAGCAGGTTTCCCTTGCATAAACAAGTCAGCAATGCTTCCAGATTTCTCGTGCAAAAAATTCTTTTATGCACTATTTGAGATACCTGTGCAAATCATTCTACCCCGTACCTGTTTGTCACGTGTAAATAATTCAATAGATCTACTGTTACTAAACTAACTTAATGAGATTAAGAGTTATTCTCTTCATTACTAACGAATTTTATTCAATAAATGTAGAAATAAGTTTTTATTCTATGTGTCAGAGTGATTAATTTCGCGGATTTTTAGCATTTTCCCCATTAAGATGCAAGATCCTATGTTGACCAATAATCCAAAGTTCTGTACTTAAGGTTTTTATTATTTCAGCAACAAAGTTTGCTGTCCAGATGGGATTCAAAGAAGAAAATCTTACCACGCCTTATTCAGAAAATCTGTGGGACACCTGGGGAAAAAATAAATGCCAGCCAAATTTTCGAGAGGTTGTTATTAAATTACAATACAATTAAATACAATACAATTAAATACAATTAAATTACAATTGTGAATATGTCCGTTTTAAGAATATGAATGCTTTAGGTTGAAGTCTTATTATTGTAAGAACCATAAAACTTATGGTCCGGTTAGCACAGTAGGTAGAGCTTTGGACTGTTAATCGGACGACCTTGGTTCGATTCTCAGACGGAGCAGGTCACTTTCGTTGTGATTGATCATGAAATCCTTTCTACGGTCGTTCACACTGTACCTCTGGTCTGACATGTACAAAAGTTACAGTTCCTTTCAAAAATTAATGCAACTAGTACTGGTAAACTGCTTGACAGCCTGTCCAGGGACAATGTGGTGGCTGAACTATGCTCTGGTAAACTCAATGTGACTTTCTGCCATGATCCGAAGTGAAATCTACCAAAACCACCACCACATTTCTATTGATGCATCTAACCATCTTACATGAGTTGTCGTAAATCATATTGTAATCTGGTAGACTTTGTAAAGAGAATTAACGCACAGTCATGTTGACAAGGGGCGCAATGTGATGAATAAATAAGTGTACATGTACTTAAATGATAAATAAACACATTATGTACTATCATTTCAACATGTCATCTTTTGTAGAACGTTAAACCTGATCCTAGAAAGTCATGTGGTCCGTACCATCCAATCAACGGTCAACAACAACAACAAAGGGTCAGCAAAATTATGGACAATATTGACGCCGACAATCACGACACAATTGGTATTGTAGCTATAGATTCAAAAGGCAATATTGCATCCGGAGCTTCAACAAATGGTCTCACATATAAGATTCCTGGGTAAGACATTGTACTATTATTATTTAATATTTTGCTTCTTCTCTCTTTACGTTGTTATTGTTACACATGTGCTTTCTATAACTGAACTCTCCCACCGTTGACATGACACCTTAAAGGAATGGTTAGACTGAGTGTACAATAAATTTAAGTTAGTCTGATTGTAGAAAATGTCTTTATAGATATTTCAATGGCAAGTGGCAATAACTGCAGCATTACGAGATATATGTTTTACTTATAGTAGTCTCCCTTCCTAGGTATACTTTTACAGCTGAAGATTAAGAACCACTTTAAAAGCCGGTGTAAGCTGGTAGAAGAGAAATGGTGCACTTTTCATTATCACTCATGGATATACTCCATAAAACCGAAATTATTGAACTTGTTTAAATTTTTGTATATTTGTTCTCTGAGAATCGTCTGTCTACCGGTCAATAACAGGTGAATAATGAATGTAATTTGGAACTTAGCCGTAAATTCGGAACTCTTACGCAAGCAATACAGTGAAGTTTGACTCAAACATTAACACATACATGGCAGAACGTATCAACTAAAACACATATACGGACCGGATACTAGTATTCGATTTTAATTTATCAATACCGGATACATAGAAATGTTTTGTAGGTGTATTCAACATTGTAACCATATTTATATTGTGTTTCTTTATCACGACTCTCTATTTGTTGAACTGTTGCGATTAAGCATTTAAATATAAGCGTTTTGAGAAATTTTCAATATGTATTTAACAGTTCTAAATTTTATCATTTAACAGCCGAGTTGGAGACAGCGCTGTAGCTGGCGCTGGGGCATATGCAGAGAATGGTGTGGGGGCTGCGGCGTGCACCGGAAACGGTGATGTAATGATGCGATTCTTACCAAGGTAGCAACAACTTTAAATACGCTATATAACAGTGTTCATTTTAATAAAAAAAGTTCATCAGTAATGGCAACTGATATGTTCCAGATTTTCGAGCATTTTTTTGTTGTTGTTTTTTTTTCAATTTTCGAATTCTTATTACCAAAAAAGAAGACATCCATTTTAATTTGTTTTTCTAGTTGCTGAACGATTATTTCGTTTTCTTGTGTGATTATTAAAAAGTTTAATTTGCGGACTTTGATCTGAGGCCACAATGTTCATAGACATAGTGCACTTTGTTTTTCTCATTACAAAAACGTACCATAATACAAGTGACACGGACACAATACCTGTATGTTTAAAGGGAGACACAGGCAAAATTTTCATTTCTTAGTTTTGATTTTTTTATTCCTAATTCCGTTAATGCCCTCAAAAAGAATATATTAGACAGTCAACTGAACAAAACTTTCCTCCATATAAAGAATAAAATGGTGGTTTCCTAACCTGACCCGCGTTGGTCAGGTTAGAGCGCTAGGATTTCACAATATTTGTCAAAGTGTACTCTGGAAACGTAAAAGAACATGTCAAATGAATGATTTTGACTTGTTTCAGTCATACAATATCCACAATATCTGTTATTGTAACTTCAACGATTTGTTCAAGTCACCTGACTTGTTTTAAAACTATTCGGTGATTCTATTGGCGTTCAACATACTGTATATAGATATATTTATGTTTCAAATCCAAAATGTATAGAATTTAAAGAGAAATTCATGCTGAAACTTATAGAAATTTCATTTCAGCGCGAGTTGAATACAAAAGATCATTTTAGTATTTTTGTCATTATTTTGCCTGAATATCCCTTTAATATTGAAGCATTTTTGTGTCGCCTCTACGGAGTAGTGGCGACATATAGGGATCACTTCTCCGTCGTCTGTCTGTCTGTCTGTCTGTCCGTCTGTCCGTCCGTCCGTCACAAAACTTGTCAGGACTACTCCTCATAAACTACTGGTGCAATTTCATCCAAACTTTACAGGAATGATCAGTACCAAGTCTAGTTGTGCATATTGTCAGGATTTTCCGGTTCAATGATTTTTGTCAGAGTTATGGCCCTTTAATAATTTTTAATTTTAAAGTTTGTCCGGACTACTTCTCTTATACCACTAATGCAATTTCAATGAAACTTTACAGGATTGATCTGTAGCTCAAGTCTTTGCGCATATTGCACGGGTTTTCCGGTTGAATGATTTTTGGCCGAGTTATGGCCCTTTGATAAAAAGGTTTCTTTTTCTGTGTGTTGCCAGATACACAAAAGCTTGTCCGGACTACTCCTCATAAACTACTGGTGCAATTTCATCCAAACTTTACAGGAATGATCAGTACCAAGTCTAGTTGTGCATATTGTCAGCATTTTTCGGTTCAATGATTTTTTGTTTGAGTTATGGCCCTTTAATAATTTTTATTTTTAAAGTTTGTCCAGACTACTTCTCTTATACCACTAATGCAATTTCAATGAAACTTTACAGGATTGATCTGTAGCTCAAGTCCTTGCACATATTGCACGGGTTTTTCGGTTGAATGATTTTTGGCCGAGTTATGGCCCTTTGATAAAAAGGTGTTTTTTTCTGTGTGTTGCCAGATACGCAAAAGCTTGTCCGGACTATTCCTCATAAACTACTGGTGCAATTTTATCCAAACTTTACAGGAATGATCAGTACAAAGTCTAGTTGTGCACTGTCTGTCTGTCAGTCCGTCTGTCACAAAATTTGTCCCAACGTGAAATTGGCCATCATGAGGCGACACATGTGATTACTGATCGCTCTTGTATATGATTTCATATAACGTATAGTCACACGGCTGTGATTTTGATGAAGACAGGGCTGTCGCCCCAGGAAGCGGCTGAATCTGCTATTAAAATCATCAAGAAGAAATACCCAGACTTTATGGGAGCGATTGTTGCTGCTGATGCCAAAGGAAATATAGGTGAATGCGTCTATCCTTTTAATTCAATCTTTTCTTAAGTTAACAGCTCATTAAGTAAACAAATGCTAATTTAAAAATAATGCATATTTCCTTTCAATAAAAAAATGCGTTTGTGATGCTTATGGTTGTGCGAACTCTATAATTGAGCCGCGCCATGACAAAACCAACATAATGGGTTTGTGACCAGCATGGATCCAGACCAGCCTGCGCATTCGCGCAGTCTGATCAGGATCCATGCTGTTCGCTATCAGTTTCTCTACTTGTAATAGGTTTGTAAGCGAACAGCATGGATCCTGATCAGACTGCGCGGATGCGCAGGCTGGTCTGGATCCATGCTGGTCGCAAACCCATTTTGTTGGTTTTGTCATGGCGCGGCTCATATATATATATGTAGTCGAAAGTCTAGCATTTCTCTACATGTATAACACTCGAAAAAAGCATTGAGTAAAAGTAAATAGTAAGTGAATATGCTGTTGGCAGATATTTGTTATTATGGACGTTAGCGATTTGAGAGCTTTAATGATTGATCTTGATTTTTAAGGCGTGAAAAACTTTTTACTCTTAAATCTCCTTGTTTCAGATTTCAGATTTTCAGATGGCGTCTTTTATGACTTCTGTTACTTTTCAAATATTCTGTTAATTCCGTTCTTTTAAATGATGACATTGCTTAACTGAAGGTCAATTTCATATATTTTGCGTATTATTGTTTTCTTCCTAGGAACATATTGTCATTTGTGGACGGACTTTCAGATTACATACATGATGCCCGGACTTCCAGATATTCAAGTTAAAAACGTGACATGCTCTATGAACTAATTGAGAACACGTGATAAATCACCGATGTTTCCGGCCCTTATTTGTACAAAGCCTTGAACCAAATAACTTTTTGGCAACCGCTTTACTGTAATTGTAAAGACACGTTCAGACGTGTTTACAAGTTTGATTTTTTTTTTTGCATATGTATCAGTGCAGTAAATGCACTATCTGCTCAACACGTCAAATTAAAAAAGTGGGCGGGTTTAAGAAACGACATCCTTGCTCCTTTATGTTCTGTAGACATGAACATTTAAGTCGTTTTGAACAATAAAAAGTAATGTCCAGAGATTACGGTTTAACAAAATTGATAGATTTAAGTTATTTGTTTGTTTGCATTTTGTTTGTTTGCTTGTTGTTGTTATTGTTTGTTTTTTGTTGTTTTAGTTCATATCTATGTGATTGTGCCTAAAATTGTTTATGATAACTCTCTGAAGGTTTTGTAACACATTGAAGGGAGACAACTCGGGTTAGCTTTAATTGCAAATGATGAATGACTAAGGGAGACAACTATTATGCTTTTCAATGTGTTGACTTTTCCATGGACGAAATTAAACTCGTATTATGTAAGATAATCTCTTAAATCTTGATAATGTATAATGTATTAAATCGTTGTCATTCAAAGTATTTTGCAAATACAGTATTTGTAATGTACATACATTTTGAAGTGTAATATACAAGTTGAATAAATTGGTTGACAATCTTGTGTTTCTATGTCAGTCATTTTTTTCAGATCCTGTCTAAAGTTCTGTAAAATATATCCAGTCAAGTTAGTAGAATGACTGAGTAGAGCATACGTTATTAAAGTAATAATATGTTTTTTTCGTATCATTAAGTTTCAATAAATGTTTTTTACCGCCGAGGCATGAGATCATGGAGCCACCAATCGTCAACCTGTTTTGAATTAAAAAACAAACTTCATTTGTTCTCTCAATAAGTAATGCAATCTGTGTTAGTTTTCGTGCATACGTAAAGTGGCTCACAAATTTGGTTTAAACATATTTATTTAAGCTCGAATGCGAAACAAGTTCTTTGCAACTTGTATTTATCATCTCGAGTTCTCTTCCTGGAACAAACCAGTACTGGTGTCATGTGAAGAAACGTGGTCGTGACCCAATTAGGGCTCGAACACGTGATCACTGGATTGAGAGGCAGACACCTTAACCACTAGGCATTCGCTCCCCTTTCAAATGTATAGAATTGTTAACAAGTACAATATTTTTCGCATTGTTTGTTACGCTTGCACTGTCAATACTAGTATGTTATGGCAACTTCTCCGCTTTGCTGGTAGAGGTAGACTTGAGACAACTCTTTATCTAATATCCCATAGACGCGCCGGCACCGGGAAAGAACCGCAGCCATTCCAAGACAAGGCAGATATAGTCCTCATATGAAAGTAGCGTTCCTGGTGAGATACGAACATTTACTGGTACGGGACAAGTGTACCAAGTGACCCCGACAAATCATCGATCGGAACCGATGATGAACTTTGAACACTTTAAAAATCATAATAGTTGAAGGCCAAAGAAATTTATCGTTTTTTACGCAAGGTGCAAATTTTCCATAGTGGTTGTAAATAAATTTGTTGAATATGCGATATAATGATCTTTTTTGCGTACATGTGAACTAAAACTAAAAAAAATAAAAAATACAGTAAAATCATAATAATTGAAGGTCATTGAAATTTATAGCTCTTAATGCAAGTTTAGACTTTAAAGGTGCGATTTCCTTCCTAGTTTATTCCCTGTATGGGGATTGTGGCAGGGTGTTTCGGCGTTATGCAAACTTTTGTTATTTACAAAATACACAATTATGTTAAATATTACTATAAGACAATATTATATAGTAAATAAAATGTGCTAAGTAACTCAGGAATGCAATCACACAAAATACATGTATGCATTTACAGATTATGCAGGTACTTTTTTGCTAACGGACGTTTTATGTGCATTCACCATTTAAAACATATACAATTACTCAGAAGAACGGAACATGGTATAAATGCAATGGCCATGGTATCATGTTCTCGAATTAAAATATAAACTTTGTCAAAGGCTCAACGATGGATAGATAACAAAATTAACTTTTGCTTAATAAACGAATTAGTTAATGGAGCGTCCGTGCCCGAGTGGTCAAGAACGATGACTCAGTCTGGGTACTGACTTTATGCTTTTTGCTTTTTTTTGAGGAATCAGCTATAGCTTTCATGTGTCCAGTGGTTCCATTCTAGTACCCACTTGTACATAAAAAACAACAACGCGCGAGACCTTTCTCCAGTAGTAATGATCCTAAAAATCCAGTAAAAATATTGAGTTTAAAAAGGCAACACATATTGTAATATCATGGAGGAACACCCGACTGTGCCTCTCCATAGGTAGCTATGTCGGTTTCCCTTAAAGGGATACCACTCAGGGATTTGACATGGCGGGACCGAAAACATTTTTTTTCCGAGATATTCTATAAATTTGATATAGATCCATCCCAATTACTTAACGAATTCATCATTTTAACTTTGATCCTTTTCTTTCTTTTCTTATGTGTGTGTGTGGGGGGGGGGGGGGGAGTAGCGAAAGCTGTTAACTGAAATTGGGCTTAGAATCACATTAAATGTCTGTTTTCGTTTTAATTTGGAGTAGGCCTATGTTTCTTGACTATCATATGTGTTTTTAAGGGCTCAAAATGATCCATGTTAGACTTGCATGGTTTTAGGTCGTTGGACCCAAGTAGAGCTCCTTTAACCTTATTAGAACTCTACTTTTTAACGGAAATTCAAAATTCTTAGGGGGATTCGAACCCACAAATATGGGGTGAAAAAATATTCCAAATTCTGCGACTTTACGGAAAGCCGCTCGGGAAATAGATTGAAGTTTTTAAATAAAAATTCGAAAGTATTTTCCGGTGCAGTTTTTTTTCCTCGTGAGCTTAAAATAATGACATGGCTTGCGTGTCAACAATATTAATTTTGAAATATTTTGAAATATGTTTAAAACTTGGATTGACCCCTTTAAACAAAATTGTATTCAATATTTGTTTATAATAGCGTTATCATGTTTGTTTGACAAGTACCATGCGATACACTTCCCGTTTTGCCTTACACTGTGCACTGCAAATATTTAACACAATTACAAAACAAACGAAATAGAACGCATGCGAAGATTTAAAAAATATTACGCCATTGCTTCCCATATTTTCGCTATTCAATATCTAATGATAAAATCGCACATTATGTAATACATATTTTTATTATCATTATTTTAATGTAAGAAATTCTTTTTTTATTGAAACTAGTATTTACATTTTACCGTTGACATTGTGAATTAGACCCGATAACCTTCGGCTCCTCGGTGATATTCGATCTATCGCTGGGTAATCCGATCTCTCGCCGATCATTGCCGAAGTGTTATCCGATTAAACGGTACCAGGAGTAAGATTCGGGGGTCCTTCGTCCGTATCGCGAGTTCAATCGGCATGTAAAGATAGTGGAAGTCACCGCCATTAGATCATGTGATCTGAAATTAGTCGGTTCGGACAAAATGGCGAAATACGTTGCGATATTTGTGTCTTTAATATTTTTCGTAATTTCTGTGAATTCTGCAGTTTTAGAACCGAGCGCGGATATAATTAGGAGTGAGGATGCAGAGGAGGGGAAATATTATCAACGTGTAAAAGGTTAGTTCATTCAAACAAGTTTTTTCTTACTTTATTTTTCACGATTGTGTTTATTTAAGTATGTACTAATGTGGGTGTGCTACTGCAAATATAGATAGTACGAGAAATCGGTCATATTTAATATTCGTAGATTTTGTATAGTTATGCTCAAATTATACTTTTTATTTTTGCCATATTCGTTTTTCATGACAGTGATATATTGTATAAAAACGTCATGCTTATGGCAAATTTAGCCGCACGTGCACGAGTTCAAATGAAAGAGGAAACATTTGGTCTGATATTTCTTTGATATTTCTTTGAGTGAATATTTAAAAAATTGAATAAAACTAAAGGAACCTTAATGTGTACTTCGTATTAAATCAACTTCATTGTCAGGTTTATGTAAAAAAATATGTTTGATAGCATATCTAAACCATATGCGTTTTTATTTTATTAATTATTAATTAAGTTGAAATGAAATCGACGAAATACATATCTTTCCATTGAGTGAGTTTATACCTACTTGCTATGTAACAGTTTTTCACAATTTAAAGGCCCACGAAGCGTCAGAAATGCTATCATTATTTTTTGCATTTAACTTTCATATTTCGTGTCATGGTTATAGTTTCAATAAAGTTACTCATTTACCATATAGATGAGACATCTTTTGATTCGTTTGCAATTTATTAATGAATACAGTTATAGTGATTTAGTATTTTGTATAGAAGTCAAAACAATACTTTCTTTAAATTTTGCTACCTTTATGACAGATTAATTTTCATCCAGTACTATTTCATTTAAGTAATCAGAATCTCACATATTCTTAATCCATTAAACACACATATATATCATTTCTGCAGAGGGAAAATTTCATTCATTTCTGAGACATAACGTGCCTTTAATAACTAAAATGTGAATTGGTTTTGTAAATTAATTGATCAAGTTCATCAAGATGTACAAGTATTCAAATTAAAATTGAAATTCATCTATGAGCATTCGTCGAATATATAAATTTCATAGAAATAGTTATGTGAAATAAAGTTTAAGCGTAAATATTAAGCCTTATCTTTGGGGGAAAATGTTTAATGTGTTACATTTTCTGTTGTCTTGTCAAATAAAAGTTGATATTACTATAAAATGAATGGGCTGCCCTCATCGAGTGGTTAATGTCGTTGCCTTCATACCACTTGCCTCTCATCGCTGTAGGTTCGAGCCTCGCCCGAGTCTTCGAATTCTATCATGTGAGAAAGCTATCCAGCTAGCTTACGGGAACCTTGGTGGTTCTGCTCAGGTGCCCGTTTTGACATGCCCGAAATAATGAGATGTTCCTCCAGCAGTGAAGCTGGAATGTCGCCACAAGTTGGTGCGACGTAAAGTCCAACCAAACAAATAAAGAAAGAAACATAAGAGCCGTGTCACGACAAAACCAACATAATGGGTTTGCGACCAGCATGGATCCAGACCAGCCTGCGCATCCGCGCAGTCTGATCAGGATCCATGCTGTTCGCTTACAAACCCTATTACAATAGAGAAACTGATAGCGAACAGCATGGATCCTGATCAGACAGCGCGGATGCGCAGGCTGGTCTGGATCCATGCTGATCGCAAACCCATTATGTTGGTTTTGTCGTGACACGGCTCAATTAATATATAGATATAACTTTTAATCAGTCATATGTCTCATCTTTAATCAGGTGTAAACCGATCTTATTTTTTCGTCATTTTTATTTTTTTACTTTTAATTTTTTTTTATACATTGGTTTTAACAGTTTTTATGTTCAATGTATATATGATAAACTTATAAAGTACATATAAAATGCTATCAGGATATATGTCTTTGAGTATAGAGCTTATAAAAATCTATGTTGAAAAAAGTAAACAACAAGTCATTTTAGTAACAACATTTATAGAAAATTCTGTAATACCGGTTAATTGCATACCAGCATTTAATTTCTTACATTTATTTACAAGAAGATAATTAATTATTCAGGAAGAATCGTAAACAGCAACTGATCATGTCAAGTGTCTTGGATATAATACCTATAAATGTTATTTGATTTTCATAACAAATCTGTGTACGTCAAAATCGTATAGGTTGAATTAATATCGCTTTTTTTTAGCATTAAAATGTATCCTTTTTTGAAATATTTTTTGCATATAACTATCGAAATAGGCGAATAATACTTGATATTATGGTTCGTTTTTTGTGTTGTTGTTGTTTTTTGTTTGTTTTTGTTTTTTTTTTTTTTTTTTTTTGCGTAGTTATTGTGGCGGTGGTACTATTGTAAGAGCAGTGAATATAGACCTAACATCAACTCAATTTTGTATTGATTATACCAGATGTAAACGAATTACCTGAGAAGGAATTGCATAACGAATAGGTTCTAAGAGTATTATCGTCGGGAAATCTAATTTTGATAACGCAAATAATTTTATAATTTCGAAATTATTAAATATATGATGAAATATTACATATCAGTTAACAGTCTCAAATTCATGTGTGGAAAGTTTTTTGGCTACTTAATAAATGAATGCTTCTTGTAGTCACCATACAATCGCCATTGCACTTTTACATTATTTATATAAACAACAAATGAAATTAAACAAGACAGATATAACGATATGTTTATGTCAGCGTTTTTTATTTCCGTATACAGCTTTTAAGGTAGATCATTATCTGCCTAACTTTCTATAATATATATTGATATTTACTATATTATCTGCATACAATCATGTACACGTATCTCTCATTTTAATATTGTGCAATGTCCTTCTACGGCGTTCCTGCGTATACAAAGTAAGTTTCTGAAAAGTTTCTGAAAAGTGTTCTTAAGTATGCAGTGTAAAATGCAATGTCTGAAAAGTTTCTTAAGTACTGCAGTTTCCTACGTACATAATATATCATGTTTGTTATTTCTCTTTCAATATTATCAACAGCGTAACGTGTCGTAACGTAACGTAACGCAGCGAAGATATTTAAGAAATAATATATCCAAAACAGTGATTTTATCGCTGAATTAAATCACTGTTTGGAGTTCGGATGCGAGGAATTATATCAAGAGGGCGTAAATTAAGTAATTCTGCTGTATTATAAATTCCATATAAAGATGTCCGACATGTTATATAGCCGTATTTCAACGGTGTTTCGCAATATAACACTCGCCTATCAGCTCTGGTCATATATGCTAACAACCGTTTATAAGTGGCCATATAATTTGTCAGACAACTTTTATAAATAATAATATACATGATTTTTAGCAGTACAGGATTCTTATTCTAATCTTTATAAACTAAAATCATATCTTATCTGATCAGTTTTAAATGTCAGCAAACTGCAAAAATTTCATTATGCACTCACATATATAATCATACTTGTATATATACATGTATCATATCAAAAGAAAAGATTTTGTAACTCTACACATGTACAATTACTCTCGTTCGACATGATAAGATAAAGACCTACATGTAAATAAGCCAACTCGCCCCGTTTCTCTTTTCATTTTTTCGAAATTTTCAGAAAAATTTAGATTTTGAACATCACAGCATCGTGAACGTTCACATTTTGCATTAAGAATTTCATTTTTTATCGTTGTTTTGCGTGAAAATTCCGGTAAAATATTTGCAACGAAAGCGGTATATATTGACCAAATTTACGCGATGTTTATTTCAAATATGGTAAATACGTACACTAGGACAATAAATTTCGATAACATAAGTTGCGCTGATTAAAATTTGTGAAATAAGTGGTACGGGGCGGTACTGACCTTACTGATAGATAATAGATGGTTGTGTAGATAAATAAGGTACTAAAGATATATATAATTATATATATGTAACACATACATGTCAAGATACACAGTCGCAGGCGATTTTTTTGTAACTTTCTGGGAGTTTTATTATCAACATTATCATTATCATTATTATTATTATTATTATTATTATTATTATTATTATTATTATTATTATCATCACAAGCATCATCACTATCATCATCATAATCATCATCATCATCATCATCAACAACACTACAAACATCATCACCATCTTCACCAGCACAATCATCATCACCATCATCATTATTACTTACATTCAAATCTTGGGGAAAATCGTACCGATGAGTGTACATTCGTTATTTTTCTTTTACTTTTTTATGGTTAATTCTATCAATCGTGACTCTCTTATTAAAGTATGATGTCTAACCAGGCTCTAATGCTGTGTGTGTTAAAAGTTCGTTTAACCACGCTACCGGAATAATTACCGTATGAGCCGCGTCACGACAAAACCAACATAATGGGTTTGCGACCAGCATGGATCCAGACCAGCCTGCGCATCCGCGCAGTCTGATCAGGATCCATGCTGTTCGCTTACAAACCCTATAAAAAGTAGAAAAACTGATAGCGACCAGCATGGATCCTGATCAGACTGCGCTGATATCTGTTGGCTGACTAATTTAATCATCTTGATATATCCTCCAAATTGAAGATAAACCCGTGCACTTTAAGAATTTCTGCAAGAAGTTACAGTCCCATTTTGGCCCAGATATGCGTTAATTTTTATATCTCAAAAGCTTTTAACTTTTGATGTCCAGATATAGTTTCTGAACAGTGACTCATTGGCCAATTACCTGACATATCTTTTGCTTCTGTTGCTTTCTTTGCAATTAGTACAGTTATAGTGCTTTATTATTTTGTATGAAAGTCAATATTCTATTACATTTACTATTTTGCTACTTTTATGACGAATAATTTTACATTCAGCGCTAAATTATGCAGGTCTCCAGCTCTAAAACCATAACTTCTATGTTATAAAACTCGTGTTTGTCCTTTCTAAAGAGGGAAAATTACATTTGTTTCTGAGGCATAATGTGCCTTAAAGGAGTAAATACATTTATAAGACGATGGTTTGAACTGGAATAAAATTCAGACCTTTTGAAAAGTAATTTCTATAAATGAATCAAACCGATTGCGTTTTTATTTTTGTATAATATGCTTGCATATTGAGAAAAGAGAACACACATT